TAATCTTTAGTTCCTTCTGGTTCCCTCTAGTGTCCAACTTCCAAAGTCTCCTTTTTTTTTTTTTAAAGAGAATTCCAAACAAAAGCATTTTCCCAAGGGAAGGATTCTTATAATTAATTCTATAATCTTGTTTCAAATCCATCTGAACTCTTCATCCATTTGTAACTTTCCAAAATCAAAGTTCTAATCCCCCTTTTGCTGTTTATTCCAAAAGGAAAAAAAAATTCTAAGTCCTTAAAGTTGTATTTAAAACGTCTTTCACTAAGGATTAAAGGAAACTCACTTGGTGCTGTAAAACTTGTCCATCCAAAAGTTCCTAATAGCTGAAAAGCAATTAACAAGAAATTTCAGAAAGTAATTAGAAAAGGAAGTATGTGAACCCAGTGTCCTTTTTGAAGGCGCCGACCGCAGTTTCAGCAAGATAGCTATTCCCTCATCTTCCAGAGCTCTAAACCTCCTGCAGACTGCTGCCTGTGGTCTCCTCATGAGGAGCAACTGTATGGAGCTCTTGCAGGCAATCTCAGAAGAAGAAGAGCTGGTCTACTTGCTGGTTCTTCATTCCATTGGTTCAGTCATTGGCTCCACTAAAAATTTGCCATTTGTTTCCTGAAAGTCCTGGCAACTGTTTCATTGATGATTACATGGAGAACCAAGGATAGTTTAGTCAGAATAGTGCCCACATCTTTTTTTCCCCAACTGTATCTCCTTCGGAAAACTTAGTCCATCTTTATATTAGGGAAGGCTGTAATATAGCAACAGTTTGGGTTTCTGCAGTTTCCACTGTAAATTAGTTGATGTGAAATGGCAGAAATAGAAATGTCACATTTTATAGCCATATTATAAACTTTCCTAACTGGAGTTGAATTATTAACTGTTTAACCCACACATTTTCAAACCTCATGGACTGGTCTACAAAGATATCCTGAACAATGCAATGGTTTACAGAGTATTTGAGGTCACAAACTCTGCCTACGGGAGGTATTGGCTAAGTCGCTTGGTTTCACTATTACTGTGCAAAAAGAAGAAAGAAGCCCACTGATGGGTTCTGGAATGCTCATAATTCATTGCAAGGAAAAGCTCTTCATTATTACAGATCTAGCCACTGATGATCCAGAACTGCTTGATAAGCTGACCTAATAAATCAAAACCCCAGTGATCTCTGCTTTTTTTTTTTTTTTATTCTTGAATGGTCAGAACCACCTTATTGGTTTCAATACTGTACGTTCTCTATGTTTCGCTGATATTGTTCTTTTTATTATTTTTAGCATGTTGTGAGCCATCCAGAGTCAAATCTGAGAGATGGGCTGCCATGTAAATTAATTAAATAAACAAAACATATCCAAAGAAGCTGCCCAGTTCTAAAAACAAAGCTAATGACACAAAACTCAAAACATCTCTTGGAGCTTATTTATAATTTATTAGTGAAATGCTACTCGGAAATCAAACAAGATTGTATGATTAAATGAATGCAGAATTTAAAGAGGACAATTTATATGCAATAATGGGAATGCCAATAGTACTTAAATTTACTGCAAATATTACCCCTAGAGAAAGCTAGAATAAGATGTTCTGCATTGGTATATTATTCCAGTACTGATTGCTAAAATAAATAACTCATTTTCTAAAAAAAGAAAAGTTGGAAATACATTAATCAGGGTGTATCATTTTTTCATATTTGGTGGCAATGTTGTAAAGCTCAATAATTCTGGAAGATGATTTATCACAAACTTTTTTTAAGCTGAATTCCCTTTTCAACCAGCTATTTTTTCTGTTAAATATTACCAAACCTTATATTCCTATGAAGGATACTAAGCTGGCTTTTTACATGGTAACAGCTACCCAGATGCTGTACACTCACATATAATCCCCTCTATAGAAAAATGGCAAATTAAGTTCTAGGTGTATGCACAATGTAAAAAAAAAAAAAGTATTTGAACAAGAAATCTGATACAGAATTTAATTCAACTTGGAAGTTATTCATGAATTATAACTCTACATATGGGCTTGTACCACATCTGGGTTTGGGTTTCTCTTAACATAAGGCTTTAATAACAAAGCTTTGCTAAATAAGGATACAATGTTTAGCTTATACAGAAATTTTGATCTATGATTCATATCATACTAGCTATTGTGATTAATTACTGTATATTTACTCAATTTTAATAATGTTCTGAAGTTTAAATACAGGATACTTTAATATGGAGCACTATTTTAATAATACTTTGAAAATTTTCTCCAAATTCAACATCCTCCACTGAACCATTTAAGATCATCAACCCAACCTTCAGCTTCAACTTAGCTAAATAGGGGCCTATATAGTTAATTTACTTTTTACCATATCTTTATTTTTATTCACTCTCATCCTGCTGATAAATCTTCTTTGTATTTTATTCTTCTTTTTTGTTTTTTTAATGTTCCTTGATTATGTTCTTAAATATCTGCTACAATAAAATAGAATAATTTGTCCATTCTTCTGGAGAGTTTGGACTTAAAATGATGATTTATTTATTTTTCATTTTAATAACGTAGTTCAGTTTTACATTAATTATGGCACCACATCTTGCTGCTTTATAGGCAATTCAAAAGTCTACACTTGCAGACCCAGTGTGGATGTTAAACTAAAACTTCAGGAACTTTTTAGAAAGAGCTTCTAGCTAAGAGCCACAAAAAGAAAGTCAAACTTGGCTTCTCAGGGAACCATCATAGAAATATCATCCAATGTTCCACCAGAGGAAGGCCAGCGTAGGCAAATATGCAGGAAGACATGCAAATGAAGTCAAGTAACATATTTGGAAATGGGACTCCTTGATAAAAGAACAGGAAGCGGAAGGTCGAATGGCAAATGAGCCGGCAAAAAGCCAAAACAAAGACATTTTGCAATGCTTGCATTTATAGTGTCTCTGGCAGTGCTGACCTACCCATAAGGAAAAGCCTGGGTTTTTTTTTACAACTCTTCCTTTAATGAGGAAATGTTTATTATGCTTATCTCTACCTGGAAATTGAAACCTGGTATCTGCTGTGCCTAATCTTGCTATTGAACTACTACAGCTATTTGCTCCTCCATTTGCAACCTATTGTAGGAGGAGAGCCACGTTAGTCTATCATAGCAAAAAGTCAAAAGGAGTCTGGGATAGCATCTTTTCTAACAAATTTGATTAAAAGGCTAATGCTTTTGTGAGCTGCAGCTCACTCATCAGATGCCTAGAGTATCTATGAGGAACTCTATATCTATGACAGTGTTTCTCAACCTTGGCAACTTCAAGGTGTGTGGACTTCAACTCCCAGAATTCCTCAGGCAGCCATGCTGGCTGGGGAATTCCGGGAATTGAAGTCCACACATCGTAAAGTTGCCAAGGTTGAGAAACACTGATCTATGATATATGTACATGCACACAACCTCTATCTACATACAACCAATTTATGCATCGTGACCTGCAGCTGAAGAAAGCTTATGCCTTTTCATAAAATGGGTTAGTTCAAACAGGAGCTACCAGATTCCTTCTGATCATTTGAAACCCAGCAACTGATAACAAGCAAATGGCCCTCAAGGGAGCAGGAAGTTTATTCTTCTTTTTTTGGTTCCTTTTCAGGACAAAACATGAAAACAGCCTTATGTGGGGAGCCAAAGATGTATATTGTAAGTTTATTTAAAAATTGACTCAAGGTAAGAAGATAAGTCTTAAACCAGTATTTCCTGTGTTCAGAATGAGATCCTGTATTGTAAACTGAATTCACAGAGTTTATATAACGTTTTCAGTGGGTTAGTTGGCTTCCAAGTAAGTTTGCTGGAATACACATTTAATTTTATAGGCCTCTGAACTATACAATCTATATTTTTCCTCTTCGATGGAAGCAAGAGCCCTTTGTTCTGCTTTCAGGGTTACATATTTGACCCTGATCACTCAGAGTCACTAGCAAGAAGCAGGTGTGCCTCCAAACAGTGAGCGCAAAGCAAACCATCACCAGTCACCTCAAGCAAACAGGCCAAGATATGCAAGAAGCAAAACCAATCAGCCAAGAGCATTCCATTTTCCAAATAAGTTTCACTTTATGGCCCCAAGACAGGGCAATTCTATCGTGAGTAAACTGCTCTGACACATCCTCCAACTAGCAGTTTAGGTCAATATCCTTCCTGAGAACCTTTCAAGTTACACCTTGAAAATCAGAGTTAGTTTCAAAACAATAAAACCAAGCCTGTGGTCTTTCTAGACACAAAGTTTTCCAACTTCTCGGCCACCCTGTCAACTAGAAATGTATGGCATTTGTGGACAGGAAGCTGGAACCCTGTTTTTAAAGCAAAGTCCTGCCTGAGCAGAGAGCTATAGCCCCCCCCCCCAAAAAAAGACATAAAACCCTGGCTGATTTTTTTTTCTTGGTTGAATCAAATATATGCCAAACTCAACCTACCCATTTCTTTTCCGATGCTTCTCTGCTCTACGTAGGAACAAAAGGTAAACCCAAGAATTGAATTCCAATTTGTGGTCACTGGCTTAGAACAGCTGTCAACTTTCTCAGTACCGATGCCATCATGCAACAAACTGTATGCCAGCATCCCCTAAATTACAGACGGGTTCCTTCCCTCCTCAAATCAAAGCCAGCAACCTTTATATTTCTACCCCCCCCCTCATTTTCACCCCCAACCCGCACAGCCACAGCGCAACTATTTCTGAGAAAGGAACCTGCATTGCCTCCTATTGCAGTAGAGGGCTCGAACCGTTCCTGGATGCAGTTACGACAACCTGAAATGCTCAGCGCTGGCTTGCGGCTAGAAGCCACACCAGGGTGCTGCTCACACAAAGCAAAGCTTACCTGTGCGGGAGCGCTGAACTGTTTCTTGGTATCGGCAAATGCCCACCTTTCAACACAAAGACACGCCGGCCAGAAGGGGCACGCTCTGGTCACATCCCTCTACCCCTTCTGCGGGAAGACCAAATTCAAGGACCTAAAGACACACACACACACACACCCCGCACACCACATTTCCAAGCCCCACAGGTTACCTTTGGCCTGACAGTCTGCACAGTATTTGTTCTCCTCTTCCAGCAGCAGGTTGGCAAGGACGGCTTGATACCTATCCACGTCCCGCACGGATTTCCCTGTCATTGCAGATAAGAGCTGGCCCCGCCGAAGTGCAAAGAAATAAGGGGGGGGGTTAAAGGGAGGAAGCCCCTTCCTTCCTCAGTGCTTCAGAGGAGGCTCTCTGGCCATGCAGCTGGGGAGGGAGAAAGTCAGGCGCAGGCTCCCTTCTGCCTCACCGCCGCCTCTGTGGCTGCTCGGGAAGAGGACTTCCTCTTTCGGCTCTCAGCAGCTGCCCTCCTCCTCCTCCTCCTCCAGGGGTGTCCCACCGCTCTGAAGGCGCCCACAGCGCTTCCCCATCGCCTGCCCGCCCCGGACACGCGCTGGCACAGGCAGGTTGGCGAAGGCTGCCCGCAAAGCCCCGCCGGCCTCTTTCCGGCTCACCCAGCTGGCACCGGCTAATCCCGGCACCTGAGGGAGGATGGGGATGCCCCCCGGGGGTCCTGCAGGATCGGGGTCTCCCACGCCTTTCTGAGGGGCCAGGCACCCCCCCGCAAGACAGGCGCACACAGCGGCCCCCTTGCTCCCCCCACCCCCCGGTCCTGGGGGACCCCGAGGCAGCCCCA